GTGATTATTATTATTACAAAATTATTAAATTCTGTTATAAATTTATCATTAAAATTACCAGCAATAACACGTTCGATTCTTAAATGTTTTCCAATCTCATCAAATATAAATGCTATTAATCCTAAAGAATTTATGATATTCTTAAATTAATTCCCCTTTCTCAGCGATTATCAAAATATTTCAAACAAAATGATGTAGTTGAAAGTATCATAAGTAAAGCAGCTGAAAGTATCATAGATAAAGCTTCTTCGACCACAATGCATCCTCGAATTTTAATAAATTGAATTTGATTAATAACATCACTAAGAAATAGTGGAATGTGAGGTATGGCTACTGTCATTAAACTATAATAACTTGATGCTATCAAAAAAAGCAATTATTGAATGTGTTTGTGTTTGTGTAAATGAAATATTTAAAAATCATAAAATTACAATTTTGAAAAAAAAATTCTATAAAAAAATTGTCGAAGAATTAATAATAATAATAATAATAATAACACATTACATTATTACTATAACGCATTATTATTTCATTACCTCATAAAAATTCCAAGTAAATTATAATTCTGAACCAAAATTTGTTACACTTTAATTTATTCTAATTTATTTAAAAAAATTTTTTAAATTTTTATTAATAAATAATTAAAAAATAATTTATCATTTAAAAAGAATATTTTATTAAACATTTACCCAAACATATTTTCCTCCACTTCCCAAAAATTTTTTTTTTATACACTCTCTATCGAATAAGTCTTTTGTTTTTTATATCATTTACTTAATAACTGTTGAAAACCGTGAGGTGCATTTTTGTTGCATCCAGTTGTAAAGAAAGTAATGACGGGGATTGGGTACATTACGTACAGATAAATATGTAAAAAGTATTATGAATATTAAAAGAATAACGGAAAGTGTATCGATTTCCCTGAGTAAAATTAACCAAATAAGATCAGATTATCTTGATATTTGATGATTATTAACATTAATAAGTCACAATTTTGGATATCTGACGATCTTGATCGCGTCTTTCTGATCTGATGATCTTGGTCGCGTCTTTCTGTTTGTCTAGATTTCGTTATTTTTAAGTTTCATATCAAATTTTTAAAGTCTTTAATTGGTGATTTTAAATCACCACTTCCACTAAAAAAAAAACTGATATCTAAAATGATCAAGTCAAAACGTGGAAGAAAGCCCAAAGTAAAACCAATTGAAACAAATGCTGAAAGTGAAAACGAAAATATTGAACATACAACAGTCAATTCATCTGCCAAAATCACTGAAACAACAACTACTAAACGTGGTCGTAAGCCAATAAATCCTATTGAGAATAACATTGAAGTTGTTTCTCAAGCTGAAGCAACGACCTCTACTACTACTAGACGTGGTCCTAAACAAAAAGATGAAACCAATAACGCAAATACTGCTAACTCTATTGGAACCAATAATGCCGATACTACAAATACTCAGCCTACTATAACTCATCGAAAGAGTTTGAGTAAAGGAAACATTAATGTTACAAACGAAACACCTACCAACACCAATTCTGAAACAAATAATGCCGGCACTTCTAACTCTAATGGAACCAATGCTGATACTACAAATATTCAACCTACTGTAACCCTTCGAAGGGGCAGGAGCAAAGGAAAGATTAATGTAACAAACGAAGCATCTATCAACATCAATTCTGAAACAAATAATTCCAGCGCTTCTAATTCTAACGGAACCAACGTAGATACTACAAATACTATAACCCTTCGAAAGAGCGGGAGTAAAGGAAAGATTAATGTAACAAGCGAAACACCTTCTAACATCAATCCTGAAACCAATAATGCTGGCACTTCTAATTCTAATGGAACCAATGTAAATACTACTCAACCTACTACTCTTCGAATGGGTAGGAGCAAAGGAAAGATTGATGTAACAAGTGAAACACCTACCAACATCAATTCTGAAGCTACATCAAATGCAAATCTTTCAACTGGTCATAGTGTCAAGAGAAAAGTTGGAGATATCCCCAGTGATAGTGATAATGAAAAAAAGGTCCAAACATCTAGAAGGAAGAAGGCCAAGGGAATCACTAATGTAATAGCCGAAGGCTCATCAACTGGAAGAAATGCAGTTGATAATGGAGAAGGTTCATCGACTTCTTCTAACTCTAATAGAACCAATGTAGATACTACAAATACTCAACCTACTATAACTCTTCGAAGGGGTAGGAGTAAAGGAAAGATTAATGAAACAAGCGAAACACCTACCAACATCAATTCTGAAACAAATAATGCCGCCACTTCTAACTCTAATGGAACTAATGTAGATACTACAAATACTCAACCTACCGTAACCCTTCGAAGGGGCAGGAGCAAAGGAAAGATTAATGTAACAAACGAAGCACATACCAACATCAATTCTGAAACAAATATTGCCGGCGTTTCTAATTCTAACGGAACCAATGTAGATACTACAAATATTCAACCTACTACAACCCTTCGAAGGGGCGGGAGAAAAGGAAAGATTAATGTAACAAATGAAACACCTGCCAACATCAATTCTGAAGCTACATCAAATGCAAATCTTTCAACTGGTCATAGTGTCAAGAGAAAAGTTGGAGATATCCCCAGTGATAGTGATAATGAAAAAAAGGTC